GCCGCGTCCGTGGGCCCCGCTCCCTGCGTGTCCTTGGCTACTTGTCCTGCCTGGCTCTGCTGGGCCCCCCGGGGCTCGGGGCGGCTGCCTGAGGGGTGTGGGTGTCGTGGTGTCTGCGCCGTGCCTTCTATGCCCAGGGTGGCCCGAGGCGCAGCGCCCCCGTGGGGTGCCGAGCTGAGCCTCCGCACACGCGATGGCCTGCACCCCAACCCCCGAAACCTTGAATGGGGTTTTGCTCCACCGCGATTCCATGTTACTTTAAGGGGTCCGGGGTCTCGCCAGCCTCCATCCCCTTCCGCCATCATTGCCAGCCCCCCCCTCGCGCCCCACATCCCAGACAATGCTTGTCACCACCAAAGCAAGAAGAAATAATAATAAAGCGAAAACCATTAACTCTTTAACCACTGGCCTTGGCCTAAGCGCCCGACCTGGTCCCTCCCCAGACTAGCCCCAAGGAGCCCCAGGTCTCCCGGGCCCAGTGCCCCTCCACCCCAAGGGCAGACCCCTATCCTCACCTTGGGAATGAGGGGGAGAAGACTGGGGACCCAGGTTCCCCCCCCCCGGGGGGATCCCCCACCAGCTCTCAGGCCCCCCCAGTCCCCAATCACTGTCCAAGGTCAGCAGGGCAGGCTACCACCTCCCCTTCCCCACTAGGGAAACTGAGGCCTGGGACTGGCTCAAGGTCAAGGAGGCAGTTGGAGCCCAACTGCAGCCTCTGCCACTGGTTCATGGGGGGAGGGGGCCCAGCCCAGCCCCCTTTCCCCTTCAAGGCCCGAGTTTGGCAGGGCTGACCAGGCAGAGAAAGTGTCAGCTGCTCTGGGTGGGCCAGGAACCACCATTTGGCCCTTCTCTGGAACCCCCGCCCCCTTCCTTGGCCGAATGAAGGGCAGGATATGTGGGGGGCAGGGGCTATAGAACAAGAGAAAAACCAGGCGCCTTCGGGAACCCCTAAGAGCCCCCACCACCACAACCTCGCAGGCATAGGCCTAGTACACAACACAATCCCACAGTGACGCCGAAAGCCCAGGAGGACACGCCACAAGCCACAGCTAAACCCAGTCAGGCCCTGGGGGGATGGTGCAGGCAGGCCGTGGGGGTGGGATGGGAGGTTCACTTTGGCCTGGGACTACCTCATTAGCAACATGTGGGCTCCACCCCACCCTCACCCCAGCTTGGGGGTCCCCCCCCCTCGAACCTCCATCCCACCTCCAGGCCCCTTCTACAGGCCTGCAGCATCCTGGGCTCTGCCCTCAGCAGCCTCTGCCGACCACGGGCCAGCACAGGCTTGACCCCGGGAATCTCATGGGGGGGGGTTGGCAACCCAGGCCACCCTCCCCCGGCCACCCCCAGGGCTGGATGGAGTGAGGCCTGCCCCTGCCCATCCTAAAGGGAGCCTGCCAAGAGCAGCAGCTTTCACCCTGAGGAGGGGCAGGGCGCTGACAGGCCCTCGGCAGGCCATTTGCACGGAACTCAGGGAGGAAATGGGCTCTGATGGCAATAAAAGATCCAGGTTAGGCTTTCCAGACATGTGGAGGCGGCTACATGGGAGTAACTGCACCAGGGGCAATGCTGAACACAGATGCCCCTCCCCATGAGGCATGTCTGGAGCCAAGAAGGGGCCTGGCCACCTGCAGACCCATCCCCTGGATCTCAGGGGCCGATTCTGGGTGATCCCTTCGGCCTGAACCCCAGAAGCAAGCGGGCCTTCCACAGAGAGAGACTGTGGCTGTTGGCCAGGCTGAGCCTCCCTGAGGCTGCTCCTTGGTGACACCAAGGCTTGCCTGGCTGAGAGGAGGCAGAGTCAGGGACTGGGGAGGTGGGGAGGGCCTTCCTGGGCCACACCAGCCAGGGTAAGAGGGTCCTCCCTCCATGTCCCATCCAACTTGGCACAGATACCCCCAGAGAGACAAGCTGCTCAGAAAGGGGCAGGGACTTGCCCAGGTTATGAGAGCCCCCAGCAGTGCCTTTCACAAAGCACTGAGGCTTCCACCCCATGCCAGGGTCATGGTCTTTATTTTCGGGGAAGTCCTGGCCAGAGGGGGCAGCTCTTAGCTGAGGCAGGAGCTGTGGGGCCTCCTCTCTGACCCTGCCTCCAGCTCCTCTCCTGACTTCACGGGTGAGGCACCCAAGACTTTAGGGTCAGGGAGGGGCCCCTCCCCAGTATCAGCCAGCGTCTGGGACTGGAGTTGGGGTTCAATGTCTGCATAGCCCCACCACCCCGAATCTGAGGCAGAACCTGGCCTCTCTCCCACCCCTGCCCATCTCTCTTCCCTCCACACAGTGATCAGCCACACATGAGGTCAGATCCTGACCCCAGTGAAGGTCTCTGGGCTTGTTTCCTTGGCTGTAAGCCGAAGACAGTGACAGGTTCTGTCACAAGGTTGTTAGTGTTTGAGGAGCACACATCTTAGAGCACAGTGCCCGGCCCACGGGAAGCACTTGACCAACACTGGGGGCAGCAGGGCTGAGGACAGCCTCCCCAGGGCACTGCTGCTCCCGCCCGCAGCCTCCCTGCCTGCAAACCGGGCTGCTGCTTGGAGGAGCTGGGAACTCAGAGCCTGACTCTCTGGGTCCAATTGGAATTGTCAGCTGAGTGGGGAGGGGTAACCCCCACACCCTTAAGAGACCAGGGCACCTTCCCATCTTCCAGGGAGAAGTGCACCTGTCTGGCCTGCCTTGTCTCATCGCCCTTCCCACTTGTGAAGTTGGGGATGGTGCGGTCCTGCCATGGTGAGGTGACCAAGGGGGTGGCCTCTTAGGCCAGGGCCACAATGGGGCCAGAACCTCTCCCAGGCCTGCCCTTGTTCTCTGGGACTGACAAGAAGGCCTCCCAGGCGCGCGAGAGCTGTTCTCTTCTGCCCCCTGGAGGTCTCAGCACAGTTTTGTTTTGTTTTTGGTGGGGTGGGGGGGGGCGGTGTCAAAGTGTTGAGAGTGGGCCTCCTTCAGAAGGCTCCTCAGGACCTCAAGACTGCTCCTGTTCAGGACTACCTCCCAGACCCTTTATCCGGAGCTGTGTCCGCTGGAGACAGCCCACCCACAACCTCCCCCTCTTGTTCCAGCCTGTGTGAGCTTCTCAAATATTGCCTTTCCCTGAGCGCTGGGCCGGCAGGACTGGGAGGTCCCTCGAGGCTGCCCTGTGGCCTTTCCATGCAGCCCCTCCCTCAGCAGAGGAGGCCTGACTGAACCCCCGACCCCCACCCCACTCAGGGCCCCTGTCACCAAGCACATCAGAGACACTGGGCTTCCTACCTTCCCCTGTCCTTGAGGGAAAGCCCACTTCACCCCAGACCCCCGCCTGCACAGACACCCCTTGGGCTGAGGTTCTTCAGGACCCAGCAGTGGAGGGGGCACGTGAGCCAGAAAAGATCCATGATCGGATGGGACCAACGGATGGGACAAGTTGGTGGCCAGGAGCCCGATCTCTCTACTGGGAACCCCCTCCCAGCTTGGAGCCTCAGGCCAGGCTGGGATAAAGGCCACACTGTTCGCCCCGAGGGGAGGCGGCGGTGCTGAGAAAGGTGGCTCTGTTGGCTGCACAAGGCCCCATTCACCCGGGGCCTGGCTGGCCCACAGCGGCCTCAGCCTCCTCAGGCCTGCGATGGCTGGCCTGGCTGGGCAGTAGCTTCCGGGG